CTCTTCCGATCTAGGGGTTTAGGGGTTTAGGGGTTTAGGGGTTTAGGGTTTAGGGGTTTAGGGGTTTAGGGTTTAGGGGTTTAGGGTTTTTTAGGGGTTTAGAGGTTTAGGGGTTCAGGGGATATTGTTGATGATGTGAATTCTGCATGACCTTAATGACCCTTTACCTTTAAACCATGGGAATTACGGTATATTCCTTCTTTAAGGACCCTTTAAACCACGGCAATTGTGGTATATTCCTTATTTAAGGACCCTAAACCATGGGAATCCTTATTTAAGGACCCTAAACCATGGGAATTCTGGTATATTCCTTATTTAAGGACCCTAAACCATGGGAATTCTGGTATATTCCTTATTTAAGGACCCTAAACCATGGGAATTATGGTATATTCCTGAATGAGGGTAATGCAGGGTGTAGATGTTTAGGGTCTAGGATTTAGGGTTCAGGGTTCAGATAGTCAGCACCGAAGCTGGTTTAGGGTGTAGAGGTTCAGGGGTTTTGGGTTAGGGTCGAGGCCTGAAAATTTAGGGTTTAGGCGTTAGGGTTTATGGCTTAGGGTCCAGGGTTCAGGGTTTACGGAGTAATGATTTTCAAGGCCTAGGGCCTAGGGCTTTAGTGATTCAGTGTTTGTCAGGGTTGAGGAGGTTGGTTTTGGGATTGAGGTTTAGGACCAGTTTAGGATGCAGGCTTAGTGGCATTATGAGTAGTGGTGCCAGGGTGTTTGGGTTAGTTTAGGGGTCTTGATGCGCAGAAGGGGGTTTGTAGGGTATAGTACCGTAAGATAGACTAAGGTACCCTAAGGAGACATTCAAGCCTTGCAGACGACGGTACGGTGGGCCTGCAGGTAGGGGAAGGAGTTGAATTGGGATGTGACGTTGGCCCTAAACCACAGGCCCTCCAAAACCACAACTTGGTCTTCCTTGGTCCCTAAACCTAAAACCACCACTTCCCGAAGATCTTGGTCCTTCAATCCCAGAACCCTAAACCCTAAACCCTCAATGCGAAACCCTCTAAACCCTAAGAGTGGCTCCTTCAGAAGATCTCAAGAATCCCTGCGAAACTTCGTCAAGTATCACGGCACCCCTCTACCCTGGGGGCCTCTTAGCATCACTCAAATCAAACCTTTTTGCGTATATAGTTTTTTACAGTGCTGTAGTTAGAAAGCTGGCTTTAAAGGACCTCCCCATCATAAATGGATGCACTAGCCGAGCCCTTGTACCAAAGCCTTAACAAAGAAAGCTGTGGAAGGACAGCCCCCCCCCCCCC